GAGGAATCCATAGGCAGCAAAATCTCAGACATATGCCCAAAGAACTTCTCCTAGGGCAATGGAAGCTAAAGAGAAAATAAAAATATGAGACTACATCAAAATAAAAAGCTTTTTCACAGCAAAAGAAACCATCAACAAAAAACAAGAAAGCCGTCTGTATGGGAGAACATATTTGCAAATGTTATCACTGGTAAAGGTTTAATCTTTAACATCCACAGGCAACTTATACAACTTAAGAAAAGGAAGATTATATTATACACCCTAAACTTACACAATGCTGTATATTAATAACATCACAATAAAATTGGGGAAAAACAAAAGCACTCAAAACATAAGTAGGGTTATCCAAGACAGAAAATGAGCCTTTATCCTAAAAGCAAAGAACTTAATATACTAATAAAGGAAAACAAACACAAACACAAACACACACACACCCCAACCCCAAGGAGCGGAGGGACTTAGAGGAGACACTGAAGAATCTCATTTCCTGGTATTTTTCAGACGACAGTAAAAAAAATCTACTCTCCAATTACTTCTTGACTAGGCAGAATGCTATTAAGGCAGAATCTAAGTCAGGATGTAAAGATCCTATAGAACTTCATTTTATAACACGACTCACATGCTTTATTTCAATAAAAAGCAGGCTACAATTCTTGAAGCTAATAGAATCCTCTTTGAGGACTGCTCTGGAGTATAGCAGTTAAAAAGGAAAGGCTTTCTTCTTTTATTATCTGCATATCTCCTATTATATTTAAGACCTAACACAAAAATGGAAGACAGTACTTTGTGGTTATGACTATAACATAAAATCATAACCGTTGGTTCCAATGATCTCAAGAGGGTTAACAGGCATTTGCCTTCTTGCTACTACTCTTGTTCATCTAATATATTACTTATTTATATACTTATTGCTGTAGCATCGAAGTGCTAATATACAAAGTTAAAACATATAAATTATTTAAATCCAATAAAGTAATGGAAATAAAAAATAAAAAAGAGGAAAGAAAGATATTGATAACTTTAATGCAAAGCTCCTGGGAAAGGTCCTAATAAGTGAATGGGTTTTGAATCAAGAAAAAAAACCCTTAAATAAATATACAATTATTATGATATTATCTCAATCAGTAGTCCAGCCAATTCTTATAGAAAACTAACACTGTATAACACCTTCAGCAGGGGGATATAAAAGAAAGAGATGAGGCCCAAGTGGCTTAGTTGGGCATTTGACCTATGAACCAGGAGGTCATGGTTTGATTCCTGGTCAGGGCACATTACTCTCTCATCATTGATATTTCCCTCCCTCCCTCCCTCCCTCCCTCCCTCCCTCCCTCCCTCCCTCCCTCTCCTTCTCTCCCTCCCTCCCACCTCCCTCCCACCTTCCTTCCTTCCCTTCTTCTCTGGAATCAATAAGAATATATTTTTTTTTAAAAAGAAAGAAAGAGGTGAGGAATTATATTTGTAAAACATAAAATGACAGAAGAGATGGGTGATTGTAACCAGTAGATGTGTCAAAGACAAGCTTTGAGGAAGCAGAGGATATGGCCTGTGAGCTGGACACCCAATAAGCAATGACTATGGGAGGACAAATGGGCAGCTGTTCATGGACCTTGAAAGCCCCCATCTTTTTTTTTTTTTAAATGTACTTTTTCTTGATTTCAGGGTAGGCTGCCTCCTGCCCACCCCCTAACTGGGGATCGAGCCCGCAACCCAGGCATGTGGAATCGAGCTGTGACCTCTGATTCATAGGTCTATGCCACCATTTGTATAAAAAGGCCTCCCTCTTGTATAAAAATGGTTCTTAGAGCTTGGAAACAAGTTAATCACTCCATTTACCGCTTTTCATCATCAGCCTTGGTTTAAGTTCTCTACCAATGCTAGGAGGTGATACAGTAAAGCAGAAAGAGATATCCCATGAGGTGCTTTGGATCCAGGACAAGATGAGATAAAATATGCAAAGTACTGAATACTAGTTATTAAATAATTGTTAGTTTTCTTATACTATGCCAGAGATGACTTCAAGATTTATGTTCCACTGAAAAGTCACTGCCCAGCCTAAAAGTGACCTATTTCCTAGTCCTATTAAAGTGACTGTGGCAACGGACTATAGTTCTCTCTTGGGTAATGCAAGTGGAAGGGATGTTCACTATGCCTAGGCCCAGTTGTTCAGAACCAGGAATACTTTCTCTCTATTCTCTCCCCATCTGCCAGCTAGGTGCAGGTGATGCTGAAGAGGCCTTAGGTGAGGGCAGAACCACAGAAGATGGCAGGTTCCACCATTACCTGTAGAGACCACTTGAGAGCCAGAAAAACCTACATTGACTGTTACATGACTGAGAAATAAACTACTGTCTTAAACCACTGAAATGTTGAAGCCACTATTTATTAAGTAGCAAGTGTTGCCCTAACCAATATAAACATGCTATATGATAATATTATGATAACGGTGAGGCTGTCAGACATTGCATCAAATAACTATCATTAAAACTATTGCCAAATCTTGGCCAAAAAGTAAATGAAAAGATGTTCCACATTATTAGCCATCAAAAAACAAACAAAAAAATAAAAACCACAATGTGATGCCACTTCACTCCCACTAGAATGGCTATGAACAAAAGGATAGTCAATAGTAATTTCTGGCAAGAATGTGGAGAAACTGGAATCCTCATACATTGCTGGTGGGAACACAAAATGGTGCCGCTGCCGTGGAAAAGTTTGGCAGTTCCTCAAAAACTTAAACCATATCACCCAGCAATTCTCCAGTTTTAGGTATATGCCCAAGAGAACTGAAAGCATACAGTCACACAAAAAACTGTACCAAGAATGTTCAAAGCAGCACTATATATAATAGCCTAAAAGTAAGACAATTGTGTGGCTTAGCAGTTGAGTGTCGACACAGGAGCCAAGAGGTCACCAATTCAATTTCCATCAGGGCATATGCCTGGATTGCAGGCTCAGTCCCCAGTACAGAGTGTGAAGGAGGCAGCGGATCAATGGTTATCTCTCATCATTAACGTTTCTCTCTCTCCTCTCCCTTCCTCTCTGAAATGAAGAAATGTGTGTGTGTGTGTGTGTGTGTGTGTGTGTGTGTGTGTGTGTGTGTGTGTGTGTACATATATATATAAATAAATAAAGTAAGCCCTAACCGGTTTGGCTCACTGGATAGAGCATCAGCCTGTGGACTGAAGGGTCCCAGGAACGATTTCGGTCAAGGGCATGTACCTTGGTTGCAGACACATCCCCAGTAGGGATTGTGCAGGAGGCAGCTGGTCGATGTTTCTCTCTCATTGCTGTTTCTAACTCTCTTTCCCTCTCCCTTCCTCTGTAAAAAATCAATAAAATATATTAAAAAAGTAAAACAATTCAAATGTTCATAAAATGATGAATGGATAAACAAAATTTGATATAGATCTCCATATGATTAAATATTATTCAGCCATTAAAAGGAATGAAATGCTGATACATGCTATAACATGAACAAATCCTGAAAACTAATACTAAGTGAAAGAAGATGGGAACAAAAGATCACTTACCATATGATTCTATTTATATGAACTATCCAGAATATGCAAACGCATAGAAATAAAAAGTAGAATATTGGGTGCTGGGGCTGAGGGAGCTGAAGGGAAATGGGAGACTGCTAATGGGTAGGATTCTTTTGGGTGTGATGAAAATGATCCTAAACATTAAATAGTAGTTATGACAGCATAGTAAATATACTAAAAACCACTCAATTGTATGATTTAAAAGGGTGAATTTTATGGTATGTGAATTATTATCTTAGATAATTTGGGTCTACATAGAAAAGTACTGAGCTTTTCTGAAGTAATGACTGGTAAAGGGTATGAGGGAACTATCTAGACCAGTGGTTCCCAACCTTTTTTTGGCCATGCCCCACCTAAGCATCTCTGAAATCCTGATGCCCACACTCCCTGACATATAATTCTTATTATTTCAAAAAGTGAACGCGGAGGAAGCCCAAAAGGCCATTAATTTGGTCTAAACAAACTTCCAAAGAACATGGCATCCATGAAAGAGAAAAATAAAAGAACAAAAGGAAAGTTGAAGTAATGAGGAAGAAATCACTAAGAAATTGTTTTAAAAATAATAGTAATAAGAAGTTATATGAACAAATAGCAAATAAAGTTTAAAAACATATAATAGAGAACCAAAATGCATAAATGTCACAATATATATTTATATACTGTATATGAAGCCCCTAGAACCATAAGAAATGCAAAAAGTTCACTGTTAATAACTCATTCTTGAATTGCCTCCCTTAAAAATCAAACTGCCCCCTGTGGGGCGTGTGCTCCATGTTGGCACCACTGGTCTAGACGCTCATTCAATCTGAGTGATAGTTACATTAGCATATACACATGTAATGTTCATTCCAGGCATAAGTCTAGGCTGGTCAGAACTAGCAGAATCCTGCCTCCTGGCCTCCGCACACCAGGTCAGCTCAAACAGCCCCAGTGCCCTATGCATGAAATACCCCTGTTTGACTATAAAGAACCTAAGCTACAAACTTTCCTGAATTTGGGTAATAGCGAACATAGAGATGAGATAAGTATTTAAAGCTACCCCTGAGAATGTTATGAGGATGGGGAACAGGACAGAGTTCCAGAATAATGACTGAAGTGTATATTGCATCAGCAGAATTCTCTAGGGAAGAAAAAGTTCTAAAGAGGTAGTGTGGGATGTGGAGGGAGGACACAAGACAGAATTGTATATGGAAAATATATTTTCCCCCTGCTTATTAGTACATGCCATTTTCAAAAATCAAGTTCAAATCACAAAATAAGAAGAGCTTGTTTGGTCATATAAAGTAAATTCTCATCTAAGTACTTAATAGTCAAAACTGAAGTCAAGGATCATGAGAATGTTTTAAATTCCAAACAAAATATAATCTGGTGATTCTATGACTCTTCATTGGAACCTTCTGAATCCATTGGAAAGACTGTCTTTAAATTGGAACACATCTCTCAAAGGATGTCACTTACTTGCAGGAGACTTTAGTTCTGTCGGCCACCATGGTCCACTGTTGCTGGTTGGTGGAAACCTCAATGTAGTAGCTGTAGCTTCGATCATCACAGTCCCAAAGTAATAACCTGAACAAAGGGAATACAAGGATGCTGTGAAATGTCCTCACTGGCCGGAGGGAGAACCTGTCTACTCTCCATCCCACCTGCCCCTTTGCCCCAACACACTTCAAGGACTGGGGAAAGAAAGGCAATCCCCCAACAAAAGTTTGATGGGAGAGGGCAGAGTCAATCTGCAACAACAGGGTCACCATGTTTCCCTTTCCCTTTCCCCTCTGTTCCTGGTTATCCTAATAAAAGATCAATATGCAAATTAACCATCATTCCTCTACACCCATAAAGCCACACTCACCAGCCAATCAGGAGCGAGTAGGCAAATTCACCCCAACCAAGATGACTGTGGCTACGGAGTGAGCAGGAGGCTTGGGTTTCCCTGGCAATGGAGGAAGTCAAGCTTTCCACATACCCTGATGGCCTGAGACCTACACTCGAGGCCACAAAGTTTCAATTATAGAAGATAAATAAATCCCAGATACCAGGGCCTCTGCTGGGGTAGCTAGGGGGCATAGCAGGCCTGCAAACCACCACAGGCCCCTCGCCCAGGCTGCCCCATGCCCCAAGGAAACCCCACCCTGATCCAGGATGCCTTTCAGGGCAAACCAACTGGCTCCCACCTGTGCACCAGGCCACTATACTATCTAATAAAAGAATAATATGCAAACTGACTGTTACTCCAACACACAAAATGGCTGCCCCTATGTGTTCAAAGATTCTGCCCCCATGTGGACACAAGATGGCTACCACAAGATGACCAGCAGGGGAAGGCAATTGGGAAGGACCAGGCTTGCAAGGAAGGGCAGTTGGGGGCAATCAAGCCTGCAGGGGAGGACAGTTAGGGGTGACTAGGCTAGCAGAGGAGGGAAGTTGGGGGTAACTGGGCCTGCAGGAAAGGGCAATTGGGGGGGACCCAGGCCTGCAGAGGAGAGCAGTTGGGGAGGGACTAGGCCTGCAGGGGAAGGCAGTTAGGGGCAAACAGGCTGGCAGGAGAGCAGTTAGGCATCAATTAGGCTGGCAGGGGAGTGGTTAGGGTATGATCATGCTAGCAGGCAGAAGCGATTAGGGACAATCAGAAAGGCAGGCAGGTGAGCAGTTGGGAGCCAGCAGTCCTGGATTGTGAGAGGGATATCTGATTGCCCGTTTAGGCCCGATCCCGGTAGGATAATCAGTCAAATATCCCTCGAGGAGTCTCAGATTGGACAGGGTGCACACTGGGCTGAAGGACACCTCCCCACCCCATGCATGAATTTTGTGCACCAGGCCATATGTATTGCTCTCAATGATTAAGTCCATAATACCTAATATTTTAGAATTCATCTTTTTTTATTTTTTTAAAAAAATGTTTCTATTGATTTTTAGAGATAGAGGAAAAGATAGGGAGAAACATGGATCAGTTGCCTTCTGTACACATCCAGACTGGGGTCCATGCTCAACCAACTAAACTACCGGTATATGGGCTAGGCTGGAATTAATCTTTTAAGTAGAAGAAACTATTAAAAGGTTTGGTAAGCATAAGCAGATTACACCTTCTGATTCCCTTTAATTCACCTGAATCTTTTATCTCTCAAAGTACTCTAAATGAATGATATAGGATCCCATCCTCTTATTTTTTAAAAAAGTGTCCAATAGTTCTTCTCTTTAAAAAAATATATATATTTTATTGATTTTTTATAGAGAGGAGGAGAGAGGGACAGAGAGCCAGAAACGTTGATGAGAGAGAAACATCGACCAGCCACCTCCTGCACACCCCCCACCGGGGTTGTGCCCGCAACCAATGTACATACCCTTGACCAGAATCGAACCTGGGACCTCTCAGTCAGCAGACCAACGCTCTACCACTGAGACAAACCAGTTTCGGCAGTTCTACTCTTATATTACGTCAGCTTGCCTGATAAGAGAGGGAATCATTTCCCTCATTAACTATTTCTCAAATATTATTCTAGTCTCTCAGCTCTTTTATGCAGTTAGCCTACGTTAATTTATATTTATGTTGATTAACTTTTAAAACTGTAATTTTTGCTTCTATGTTTGTATGTTTCTCAGGATGATTATAAATCTTTTAAAAAGAACATGATCTTTTTCTTTAAAAAAAAAATTCTACTCCAAACATGAGCTCTGCTCATAGTGCATGTTTCATATATATTTCGGGCTGAAATAATTCATAACTCTGCCAGAATAGATTAAAACCAGGAAAAAATTTCAAGTTAATTAATCACTCTATTGATTTAATAGTTCTGGTAACAGGTATTTTGGGAGATAATGTTGAGGCTATTTCCCCAATGGATTATTTTGATTATTCATAGAGTCAGGTTTATCATAATCCCCCTCCTTCTGGATAATAATGAGTTAGTGTTCCTACCAGTGTATCCAAATGAAAATAATCAATCCCTTTTGAAACACAATTTAACCAGATCCTATTTCATAGGAAAAGACTGTCCCAAGAATATAGGATATAGAAAAGATAAAAAGGAAGACCAATTATGAGCATCCTAAATGTTCTTGTACAGATTCTTGGAATGATAGCCTATTAAAATAACTTTTTAAGTTGTGCACATTGTGTCCCATAGTAGCTTATTCTATAAAGTCTTCCAATTTGTTTCAAAGTAAATTATGTTAAAATAAGGATCATTTGTAATTCCTGTAATTTTGGAAACACATAGTTCAAATTATTTGTAACTTGCTTGTTTTGTTTTATGACCTATTACGAATACCTTTTCTTATATTATCAAATATTCTTCTTCATTATATGTTCTGCCTTCATGGAATTTCACTGAATGGATGATTTGTAATGTACTTAATTAACCTCTTATTTTGGGGCACTTAGGTAGTTGATAATATTTTATTGTTATGAAAACTCCATGATGAATATTCGTATAAGTTAAATGCATGATTACTGCCTGTGAAAGTTTCTGTAAGTGAAACTCCTTGAACAGAGCATATGAGGCCTTGATATGCATTGGAAAATAGCTGCACACCCTCCCTTTTCCTCAAACTAAAGTCTGTACCAGTTCCTACTCATACCACTCACAGTGTAACTGTCACAAGCCTACCTCTGTGCATCTCTATCAGTATTGTGTATTATCTTTAAAAATATTGCCAATATTATAGATGGACTATATCTCATCATGTACTTTAATTTGCAACTTTTTCCTTATCACTGAATTTGAATATTTTACCCATTTTCTGTTTATTCTTTTGTTAATGACTTATAAAATGCCCTCTATATTTTAAGGTTATTAATCTACTGCCTATCATAGTCTCCATGCTGAAGATATTAATTTTTATTAGCCTAGTCGATCGATCTTTACCTCAGTAATTTCTCCTGGCCTAAAGTCTTTTTTCTGAACAGCAGCCAAATGCACATACTGGTTGAGACATCTCCTCTCTATTCCTCTATTAAGAATCCCTAGGGGCTGGAATTGTGGGGTCATGTGACTTCTGAGTGGAAAAGGGACACTAATGGATCGGAAGTTATGAAGCCTATGGCTCAGACTCACCTATACTTCGGAGTTTTTAAGAGATATTCTAATTCATGTGCCAGGATACGTATTTATTTGGAATTTAGGCTTAGCCAGGAATGAAAATCCCTTTGTTGATTCAACTGGAAAAAGGCAAGCACAGCTTGAGAATAGTAAAGGGAAACTGGCTCAGTTTATTTTTCCATGCAGAGAAATTTTGTCCTAATAAGGTAAAACAGCAAAGCCCACCAACTCCCTTCATTTATTTCCTGGCCAGGAAAGTCTGCCTGATGTCTTTCTACCTGCAACACAGAGCTACTAATCTGCTGAGAATGTTTGCCCAGGGAGCTGACAGACACACTCCCTCTGATTTAACTGAAAGCAGCTCCTTAAACATATACTCCACATCTCATCTGGCCACCAAAACATCAGAAGCCATTTTCAAATGGGGCTGAAAAAAGGGAGCTGCAGGCCAAGATCTATCAGTGCAGACAGGGTCTGGCTTAGCTGTTGCCACAAACCCTCCACCTAATGGGCACTGCATGAAATGCTTGGTGATGTGAACCGTCTCTCCGTCCTCCCTGTTCTCACTGTGGAGTGTAACTTAAAAGCAATGAAATGCTGGGCTTTTTAAAATTGATTAACAGATGTGATTTTGCATACCTCTTCCATAAATGCTCTGGCTGGTTCCATACCACTCATTGATTACCAGGGTTCAGTTTACAGCAGCTAATTGCTCTCCTCGCTGGTGTTTTGATACAAAATTCAATAGTAAGTATGTTTTCAAAACTCTTGTCTTTGTGGCTTGAGTCAGAAGTGACTTGAGGCAAACCCAGTGGACTGAGTTTTCCCTTCTTTAAAATAATTGCTCTCTCATCAGTCTGTGAAGAAAGTTTCCAAATTGTAGCATTCTAATTGGAAAGCCTGCATTATGCATGCGATGACAAACTATGTTGTGCTGAACGGCGGGTTTTTATTTTTTTTATTTTTTATCCCTTTCTTAAGGGATTAATTTTGTGCCAGACTGTGAACAACGGCTAAGGTTTAAGAGTTGAGATCAACAGCTTTTCCACGGTGTCTTTTAAAACAGGAGCCAAGTGTCTGTTTTGCTAACTGTCCACTGCTTGGGGGAGGTTCCACTGGAAGGCCTGAGGCCCTGACTGCTGCTGTTGCAATTTTCTCATTTGGTTGAAAACACACAATGAAAGGAAGATCAACTACCAGGATGTTGGTAATAGAATAACTTATCACCAAGCCCATTTCTAATATCTCAGGCAAAATCAATTATGACCTCAAGTATTTGTATAGATATTCTTTGTTCAAGATCTTCAGAAATTAAGTTCTATAAAAATTGTCTTCATTCAGCAATTTAAAACATATTTACTGAGTATTGATTAAGTGATTTTAGGCAAGCCACTTAACTTGTGAAATGAAAGGGCTTGATATGGTTTCTGAGCTCTTCCAGTTCCAGCACTTTAAAGTTCTCCATAGCAGCACATGAAGCATGTTTTTTTGGTTTATCTTTATATAATAACTCCTCTCTCTGAGACTGTT